GTCAGAAGTAGTAAGGTATGTGAAAGCTGATTTTGAGAGGAAAACAGTCCATGTTACAGAGTCCTTCCTTGGTTTTATCCAGATAAGACAGAAGGATGCTGACAGCTTGGTTGAAGACATCTTGAAACAGCTAGAGAAGAGTGAAATGGAGCTACAAGATTATCAATCACAGTGCTATGACAACGCTGCTGTGATGGCTGGACACTGAAATGGTGTTCATCAAAGAATAAGTGAGAAACACAACCTGGCAGTGTTTGTGAATTGTGACAATCACTCACTCAACTTGGTGGGTGTACATGCAGCCAAGGAAGATACAATGATGGTCACGTTTTTTGGAATCATCGAAGCTCTCTATGTGTTCTTCTCTCGTTCAATACAGCACTGAGAAAAACTCAAAAACGCTGTGCCTGTGGTTGTTAAGTCACAATCCGAAATCAGGTGGAGTGCAAGGACAGAAGCAGTGAAGCCCATCAACAAGTACCTTGAGGAGATACTTCAAGTTCTCCAGGACATGACAGACAATGAAAACGAGACAAGTGAAACAAGAAGTGATGCAAGGCAGCTGTATAACCACATGTTGAGTTACAATCTTCTGACTTTGCTAGGATATTGGAACAAAGTACTCATTCGCATTGACCGTATTCAAAAGAGGCTGCAGGATCCTAGCACGAACTTCTACGATGCAGCCCTGGATTTGAAAGCTCTACAAGATCATTTTGATGATGAAAGAAAAGTGTTGGTCAGTGAGTCACTCGTAGAAGGACTTGATCTCTGTCAAGAATGGAATAGTGAAGTTGAAAGACGCCAGAGACAAAAAAAACAAATGGCTGATGAGAACTCGAGAGACGCTAGGTTAATAACGAAGGAGGAAATGGAAAGAGTCATGAAGGGAACACTTGACAATCTTCACAGAGAAATGGATGAAAGGTTCACTCGTTTGCACGACACTGACGCCAAGTTTGGGTTCCTTCTCGATATCAAGTGACTGTGTTATGGCACCGACAGTAACAACCTAAAGAAGAAGTGCGAAAATTTGGGCGAATTGTACAGCTCTGATGTTGATGGACAGCAGCTATATGAAGAAATTTTGAATTGCAGAATGTTGCTATAAAGTCGGCCAACACGAAAATATCAAGACCTGAAGAACTTCTCGGATTTATTGTTCAGTATGGAGATGAGAGTGTCTTCCCCAACCTTTGAATTGCTATTCTGATAATGCTAACTATCGCAGTTTCCATCGCCAGCTGTGAGAGATCATTCAGCAATTTAAAACTAATACTTTTGTATTTGAGAACCTCCATTTGTCAAAGCAGACTCTGTGATCTTGATCTGCTGAGTGTAGAAAGAGAAGAAACTGAAAAACTGACTTTGAGCACATCATAGACCAATTTGCATCAGTGAAAGCAAGGAAGGTGCAGTTGTAATTCTCATATAGTGCCATAATTTGTTAATTAAAAGAATAATGAGCTTGACTTGTATTTTTGGGCTGATATTATGGTAAAGTTATCTAAAGAATGGGTGTCAGATGTTTGGACAGGGGGACAATTTCAGTGCTTGCCATAGGTACTATTTTCCGTAGATATGCCCCTGATTGCAGGTTACATCTATTTGTAGACCTAATTTTACAAATTAGCCTTTGAGTAAAAATTCCAAAACTAATGGTACATATACCTAACTTACTTTTAAGCTTCCCTGCAGAATTCCTTACTAATTGATCAACCACAAACACACTCTTTAGCTCACTAACTGAATCACAGAACTGAATAACTGAATAACTCACTGACTGGCACTAAATACTTCACTGAATCTGTATTTATATTGCACCCTTGTTTCTACATAGTGCAGGAACTTTATCGATTCCTAATTTTCATGACATACTTCTTCTAGCAAAACATCTAAATTAAAATATAGCTTACAACAATAAACAGGATATGCACATGTTCATAAAGATTATATTAAATTAACAGCAATGAAAAAATTTAGCTTTGTTTTAAAGAGTATATGTGCAAAACAGTAACATTATGCTAACCAGAGGCAGGGGTAGAGGATATAACTGACAGACCAACTGATATAACAAAGGGTGCTATTAGTGATACAGTCTTTCGAGTGCTTACATGGGTTAATGATGTAGGGAAGGGTAGATCAAACGAGCTAATTTTTACGTACAAGACATTAAAACAGGCATTCATAGAAAATTGCCATAATAACACTGCCAAGACTTAACTGTAGGGATGAAATTATAAGTATGTCATTAGGGCTAAATGCTAGGCTTAGGTTAATAAGTAAGGAAGAGCTGATTGGATTTATGGGATCAGTTCAATGGGAAAAGGGAACTTTTTAGAATGGATGGTTTACATTTAAATAAGGTAGGAGCTGGCTTGTTTGTAAAGCTATTAACTCAACTGTAAGGGCAACCTTAAACTAGGAATAAACAGTGGATAGGATCATAATAATGAAGAAAAAATAAGATACAGAGAGAGATATAGTGTGGGAACAAGGTGCAAAGGTAGTTTTAATGGTAGACTAAACTGTTTTATCGTAATGCTAGAAGTATAAATAATAAAATGGATGACTATAATGCATTGGTTGTAACAGAAGATTTTTATATAATGGAAATAACTGAAATCTAGCTAACTGTAGACATTTATGATGATAGAAGTTTCTCTGAAATACTGGATTATAGGTTGTTTAATAGAGATAGAGTATTAAAAACAGAGTCAAGAGTAGGTTTATATGTAAAATGTGAGTTACAGCCTGTTCAAGTTGAATATATTGAAGTTAATAGCAATGAGGTTGAATCTGTTTGGGTTTCTGTTACTGGATATAACAGGAGGAGGCTTTTACTTTGAATATGTTACTGAGCACTGATAAGATTAATGAGAAGCTCTACATGGAGATAAAGAATTCAACTATGAATGAGGTTACAATTGTGGGAGAATATAATTTCAGGCATATAGATTGGAAAATGTTTAGAGTCAAACCTTAAGGGAGAAAGGTTTTTAGAAATTGTTTGGTTTTCTTCCACAGAATGGTTTTCTTCCACAATTTGTAAGAGAGCCTACTAGGAACAATGCTATTTTAGATTTATTGTTAGCATCTAATAAAGAAATGGTTGATAGAGTAGAGGTTGGGGAACATCTGGGTACAAGTGATCATTGCTCAATTAAGTTTGGTGTTTTGCTTCATATGGTGATAAGAAATAATGAGATTTTGGTTTCAAGTTCAAAAAAGCTAATTTTGAAAAAGATGGGATATGAATTATATGATGTAAATTGTGAAACTGAATTAATTGGAGATACTCATCAAATGTAGAAAAATGTTTTAAATATTCAAGATATCCTTATGGACAAAAAAGGGTAGCTACAAGCAAAAACCAGGTTGGCTCAGAAAGGATATAAAGGATGAGATTAAAGAAAAGCATTATAAATATAAGAAGTTTAAATTCAATGCAATGATGGGAGATGTTAAGGACTATAGAACATCAAGAGTGTCCGTTAAATGGCAAATTAAGAAATCAAAAACTATATGAAAAAGGTTGGCTGAAAATGTACAAATAAATGGTAAAGATTTCTTCATATTCATTATTAAACGTTAGCAAAATGTTAGGAAAGGATTATACTGGAAGGTTAATATCTGATGATCATGCGATGGCTGAGTTATTATTTTCTACTTTTTCTTCAGTTTTTTACTAATGAAGATTTAAGCAATACTCCTCAACCTGAACAACTGCTGGATGGAAACAAAGTTGATCAGATGATCATATTAATTAATACTGTTAAGAAAATGAGAAGTTTAAAGAATGATAAAGCACCTAAGCCAGATAATATTTACCCAAGGGCTTTGAAAGAGGTTAAGAATTGGGTACATGAGCCACTTGCTGTTATTTTTTCTAAGTCCTTGAATAGTGGGCAGGTGCCAGAAGTTTGGAAGTTGGTTAATATTAGTCCTCTTTTCAAGAGAGGTAATAAAAGTTGCCCCAGTAACTACAAAAAAATTTTGAAAGTCTGATAAAAGATGCTTTGCAAAGTCATTTAATAAAGTATAAAATATTGTTGGATACTCAGCATGGTTTCATTAGGGGAAAATCTTGCCTTACTAATCTTCTGACATTCTTTGAAGAGATTATTACTTATGTAGATGAGAGTACAGGTGTATCTATGTGTGGTGTATCTGGATTTTTATAAAGCATCTGACAAGGTGCCACATAAAAGGCTTCTTAAAAAAGTTATCTCTGGATATATTGAAGATAGGTTGGCTCATTGGATAGAAAACTGGTTAGATGGAAGAAAGCAGAGGGTTGTTCAGTCAAACTGCATTAATGTCATTAGTGAGGTACCTCATGGATCAGTATTAGGACTTTGCTTTTTTTGACTTACATCAATGACACAGATGAAAGAATAGTCAACAGATTATTTAAATTTGCTGATGACATTAAAGTTTTAGGTACTGCTGGCTGTAAGGTGGGTGCTGCATTACAAAATAATTTGGATTATTTGGTGAGTTGAGTGAATAAATGACAGATGACTTTTGACAACAATAAATGCAAGGTAATGCATGTGTGATATCCCAATTTTAATTATGAGTATGATTTTATAACAATAACCTTAACAGTGTTACAGAAGAAAAATATCTTGGTGTTCTGGTTGATCAGTCTCTTAAGTCATCCAATCAATGTGTTATTACTAGTGGCAGGGTAAATAGGATTTTATGTTACATCTACAGAAATATTGAAATACAAGTATAAAGAGATTATGATATCATTGTCTAGTGGTCATTGGTTAGGCCACATTTGGAATATTGTGTTTAGTCTTGGGCTCCTTACCTCAGAAAGGACATTGAATTGTTGGAAAGGGTTTGGAGGAGGGTTACTAGGATGATACCTGGGATGAAAATGTTATCATATGAAGACAGGTTAAGATCTCTGAACTTGTTTTCTCTTGAAAAAAAAAGAAGAGTTAATGAGGATCTGATTGGTAAGTTTTAAGATTGTTAAAGGAACTAATAATGTTAATGCCTCATCTTTTTTTCATATTTAATGGTGAGAATGGTAAGACGAGGGACACAAGTATAAAATTTGGCAGGGAAGAAGTAATCTTCAACTAAAACAGCTTAATTTTTCTAAAATGGTGGTTGGCCTCTGGAATGGGTTGCCTTCAAATATAATGGATGCAGTTAACTTAAAGGAAAGCTTGATAAATATTTAAATGGTAAGGGTTGGCTTTGAGTTGTTTTTTTTTATGGTTTTATTTAACTTAGTGGATAGGACAGCCTAGATAGACAACTTTGTTGTCTTTTTAATGTTACATTAACATGATAATAATCAAAAGTTATATTTTTAACATGCTGGCATAGGGTATATCTACTATTGAACAAATATCTAAAAAAAAAAACACATATTTACCTGTTCTATACTCTGCCACTGTTGGTGAACTAACTTGCTTCCCACTAACAGTTTGAACAGAAATATTATAAGCTCTTCCAGGAACAAGTTCATTGAAGGCTGCCTGAGCAGGCCCAGGTGGTTCACCTTCCTTATCAACATATACAACTGACTGATCAGAATCCTCAGGTTTGATACTTACACGATACTGACTAAAGATACCAGAAGGATATGGTGGTTGCCATAAAACAAGAAGAGTAGTCTCATTTCTAAACCAAACAATGAACCGTACAGGAGTGTTTGGTGCTATGGGGGGGAAAAAAGACTGAATATCACAATTGAAATAGCATAAAGAAAGGAAATGTATTTGTTCTTTACATAATCATACGTAAGTTACATAACTGTTCAAGAAACAAGTTTTATTTTTGTACACTATAATGACTATTGAACTGCTCACATCAGCTACTAAAAAAGTTATTTTAGTTCCAGAAAAGGTTTTTTAGCTCTCTCACCTTATTAAGATGAAATCATTGTATTCTAATTTAATAGAAAATAGATTTCCATTAATTAGTTTAATCCAGCACAATATCTTGATCTCAACATATTTCACCAGCAAATGTAACAGATATTAAGTTAAAGGAGTTTGTGCCTTTGTAATTGAGTGAACAAGTATGTCAGTTAGATTACTTCACTTTAGAATATTTTCTTAGAAAACCTTATACTCAAGAGATGTTGATGAAACAGCAGAACAATACAAATCTTAATTCTTTACTGTACATATACCTGTACCTTATATCATAATTCTAACAAAATATTTCATACACACTTGTTGTAAAATTTGCTGCCACAAACAGTGATGATTTCTGGTTCTTGAACAGTGAATAAAGTTGAATTTCATATGTGCCACCAGGGGTAAGATCTTGTAGCCTAAATGGAATAGGATTTTTGTCAAGTTCTATGCTTCGTATCTGAGAATCGTCCTCTTCAGACAAAGGGATGATAGTTAATTGGTACTCAGTATAACCTCCTCTTGCTGGTGGATCCCAGAATAAGTTGACTATTTTACTTGAAAATGGCTTAACTGATAAATTGGTAGGAGGATCTGGCACTGAAATTTTCAAAATAAAATTGTCTGTGATATAATTAATTTGCTATAATTTCTACTTATTTCATATAAACTACAGAAACATGTGTGATTTGTTATAATACAAAGATTATAAGAACTTCTTCCAAAATGAAAATGTAGATTTGTCCTTCTTGCTTTCAAAACTTAATGCCCAGTCACATGCCTTACTCATGCAAATTAACTTTTAAAATTCTCATGAAGAACATGTTTTGTGATGCTAGTTTAGTTAAAGCCTGAGTTGTTACCTTTTTTTTACTTCACTTCCTACTAGGGCTCTAATATAGTTTTAGTCTAAAAATATTCTTGTCACTACCAAATTAGCTCCAGTAATGTCATCGCAACATTCAACCTACAGATCAAAGTGAAAAAGAGATACAAAACACATCCCTAGAAGCTCATCTTATTCAGTTCAACAAACCACTCCACATAAGAAAACATCATAGCAGCATCTTACATCACAAGCTCTTTGAAAACTCAGCCTAAACCTCTTGAGAAAACAATGCCAGCAAGAAATCACATTTGATCACTTGATAATGTCATCACTAATATCAAATTACGATTATATCACCATAAGTAACTAGACAAAATTCAGTTGTGGACAACAACCATATAACAAAGCCATGAGAATAATCTTGACCAAAAATAAATAATTATATAGGTGATACAACTTTGGAAAAGTTAGCCATCTATTACAAGTGTACAAATCCCCAAACAGAGGAGAAAACTACTAGATCTTGATAAACAAATAATAAAAAATACTACTCCTGTACACATAAGTTAGCCTAGCATTGGTAGCCTATTATGTATTAGTCTTATGTCTGATGATGACCCACAAAAATGTGGTTAAACATGTAACAAAATGTCTGTTTTTGCAATAATAAATAATTTTGGTTTGAATGATGTATTACTTTTAATAATTAAATACTACAAGATGTATAAATAGACCAGTTTACAGCAGGATGTAATGATTGCATTTACATGTTTATTAACTAATTAATTTATATATTATTCACCTCTGATATGTAGTGTTAAAATGTGGTCCATTCTTAATACGTCAGTCATAACTATCCTTTTATGAAGTGGAACATAGCCTGTTCAGATATACACATTACAGTAATGTGTGTGTGTGTGTGTATATATATATTTCTTGACTTGACAGAAGATATATAGGTACATCGTATAGTGAATGAAGTATGTGTGTGTGTGTGTGTGCAATTAACAAGAAAAAACATACAATTCCATATTGTATTTTAGCAAATAATATTAACTTATTTTAATAATGATGATTTCATCTGTCACTATTTATATATATGTATAATGAATATTTTGTTAAACCTCATCAGTTTTTCATTAAACTAAGAAAACTGATGCTGACCTTTTCTTTCTCTGTTCCATGCTTATAACTGAGTGTGCCTAAAGTATCAATACTAGATCTGAATTTACAATCCTGCTGTAAAAATACTGTTTCATCTTGTAATTTGGGAGGAAAAAAATACTAATATGAGCCTGCAGACTGAATATAGCAGAAACACTGCAGTAGTTCATGTGTGGGGAAACTGTACTGTGATTATTCTGGAATGGGATAATGAGGGGTCTTGCCTGAGAGGGTACAGTCTGTACAGTTTGATGGGAAAAATGCTTAATAATATTTTCACTGGAGATATTTTGATGTACAGATAGTTTTCAGTAAAATATAAATAAGTAATTTCTCATGAATACTATGTATTGGAATTTTGACAAAAAAATGGTGAAGCCAAGAAATAATGTACTAGAAAGTACAGTTTCCTATAAATCTATCATCTTATTAATGACTATTAATATTCAGTGTCATTGACAAATATTTGACATTTATATATCCTGATGGTCAGACAGAACTTCACTATGTGCACTTTAACCCTAACAAAGTGTATATAAAGTGTAAAGAAAAGCATATCAAAGCAGAATCAAGATCCACCAGACACTAAGCCTAATAATTTTCAACTAAAAATTTCTGAATAATGTAATGAAAGGATAGTATGTAATACATATTACTATAAACTAGAAAAAGGGATATTTAAATTTTAATATATTTTCAGTTTTAATGAATTATCTGGAATTTTTCTTATAAAATTTGCCTGGAATGTTAAGTCTTTCAAACTTTTTATTAACAAATATTTGTAGAGAAAACCAATCATGAAAACATTAATGTAAATATCTGGCATGTAAACTTAGGTAAATGAAAGACACTGCTATACCTGGAGTTAAACAAGTTTGTTTTCTTTTTTTAAGTGGGTTACACTTCCAAATGCTTTCTATTTTATGCTTTCTTTACAAAACATTAATATATATATATACATAAATTTAAAAAAGTGTCTTTGTGGTATTTGAAAAACACTCAACCATACAACTTAATTGTGAAATATTTAGAACAATTTTTTTACTCCCTGCATTTCACTAATAAATTTTCAGCATACTTACCAGAATAAAAGCTTCAAAGAGCAGTTAAAGAGTATGTCAAGAGTAAAAATAACAACACCTACATGACAGGCAATACACAGTAACATATATAAATTATAAATTAAACAACTTATGGCAAATTAAAAACAATGAGAAATGTACCTGTTGCTAAGGTGGCCGTCCATATCAACCAGTTGGTTAAAGAGGTATTGGTATAATACAAGTAAAATGTATAATCTTTCCCAGGCAATGCATCGGCTATTACAATACTGTTTGCAGCTTCTGCAATAAATGTGAAGTTTGGAGAAGGATAGCCATGTGGAGGTAAATAATCTAACCGAAATAGCCCATCTTCCAACTCACCAACATCCGACGGAAAGGCCAAATCAATTTCCACTGTTACACATAACTAAAAACATAATTAGAGAAGTTGGATTAAAATAATGATGTTTTAAAATGCTAAAAATTAAATATTAATACTACACGAATGCAAGTTGATTTCAATAACCTTAACTTGTATAAGTTATAATATTTGTATAATACTATTTATCTCCGTTAAAACATGAACACCAGATTTAAAAATAAAGTTCAACAAGGCCTACAGGTGCACCAGTATTATATTGCAAATTCATTAATGTGTTGAACTTAAAGTAAATTTATTAATTAACTAGATGATTTAAGAATCAAACCAAAAACAAAGGCCATATTTTTCAGAGTATAATTTTACTAAGTCATTAAATCTCACCGTAGTATAAAGTTAATTATCAGCTGCATATTTAAGAAAACCTAAAATGCTATATTCTTTAATTCTATATTCTTATAATCTTTAATCGCTATAATGAAACTGAATACTGGTTGTACAGAATTTACCGATTTAATCGCCTATGGCAGCGTACTGGCTTGTATTACGCACTGCATCTAACTAACCAAATTATTTCAGCAAAAATATATACACAAAGATATTTTTACACAACAATATCACAAAAGTTTTGATTTCATCCTTTATACATATATATATCATATTATAACATTTTTGCACTCGTTGGTTTGAGACATTGTCGACAGATGGGGGCATAAAACTGGACAGCCTTTCGAAGTTCGTTTGTTTTTAACCGCAAAGATATACAATGGGCTATCTGTTCTATGTCCACCGCGCGTATTATAACACGATTTTTAACATTGTAAATTATTAGTCTTCAAGCTTACCGCTTAGCCACGTTGGGGTAAACTATTCCAGTTTGTTATAAAAGTAAGATTAATTAACAGGGTCGTGTTTATTTCACATCACGAAAGATTGGTATATTGAAATGCCTTGTTGACAGATTTTACAAGATGAAAAAATATGGATTGTAATAAACATCGACAGAGAAATTTCTAGTAACCTTTTTGTGATATGCCTATTGGTACTATTTTTCAAGCAATAATGGACGTCAGACTAAGTAATTTTTTTGTCTTATACTTTCTTTTATCAAGTGTAGTATTCATTAATATCACTAGGCCCGGCATGGCCAGGTGGTTAGGGAGCTCGACTCGCAATCTGCCCAAACAGATTCGCCTCTTCAGCCGTGGGGGCGTTATAATGTTCAGTCAATCTCACTAGTCGTTGGCGGTGGGTGGTGATGATTGCTAAATTAGGGACGGCTAACGAGGATAGCCCTCGTGTAGCTTTGCGCGAAAATTCAAAACAAACAGTTGATATCACTTTTTGCTTTAAAATTGTATTATTTGAGAAGAAATAGTTACCGTATTTTTCGGAATATAAGAAACACTGGTGTAAAAGACGCACCCTTATTTCGAAGACAAAGTTTTGGGGAAAAAAGCTACAGTCGCATTTGGAAGATTTTTATTGAACAAAAATTCAATTTGATACTTTAAAAATTAGTATATATTGTTCTAAACACAAAAGAGCTCAAAACATCAAAATAAGAAAATACCGTAAATAAAAAAAAGGTTTACTGTTATTTAGTTCGGTTCAAAAACCTACAAAATCTTCATTGCTTTCACTGTAATTTATTTTTTATTATTAGGGAGCATTATAAATAGTTATGTTTTAAAAG